AATACACGCATTTGGATCATCCAACGATTCTAGTTTTTACTGTCAAATACTGGAAGCTTGGTGTTCATGTTGTCGTTTCCGTTCATCTTCACCTTGCACAATACACTCAGATTTCTCACACAGTGTTTCCCAACCTACAGAATAAAATTCTGATCAGATTTTGTTCAAGATTCAACACGAATATAAGAATCAAAATCAAACACACAAGACCTCACGTTCACTCGTGTTTCCCGTGTTTCCCAATGAATCCGAACCGGAGCTCTAGATACCAATTGTTGGTGCAAAGGTGAATAAATGATGAACAAAGGAAATATTCTATTAAGAATGACGGCTACAAAACATGATAATGTTACAATGATTGTCACCCTATTTATAAGCTAAAACTAGGGTTACTAGAATAAGATAAAATACAAAAATACCCTCTAACAAACTTAGGGGCTAAGAAAATAGTACAACTAAATAAATATGAATTACTATTAATATTCTAATAGTTTTCTCACATAATCATAAGAAAAACACTATTTTTTAAGTATTTGATTTTTTATAGCTTTTTGTCATGATTAAAAAAATCCATGCTAATAAATGTGTCTGGAGTATTTTTTTAAGAATTTCAAATAAAGCAAATATTTTTTAAATAAATTAAAGCGTTTTGTTATAACTTGTGATATTAAAGGTAGAAAATTTTGTATTTTGTTATAACTTGTAAGACTTTTTGATGTTGTGTGCATTTACAAAGGTAGAAGAATGTCGTAATGGAGATTGCAATTATAAAATCATGCGCAACAAACCGGCACAATAAAGGTAAATATTAAAACAAGCTATTAAAATGAGTTTATGCATATATTAATTATATGCTAGAGTGGTCCAATTGTTAAAGGCATTGTCTTTTATGAAAAAGACATGGATTCAAATTTCATTGAGTGTGAAAATAAAAATTATTTTGTAAATTAATCATTTATACAATGACATGTAACACCTATAATTATTTAATAAATATAAATTAATTATGTTTTATTACATGTCAGCACCATTAATGGATGATGCATTATACAACTTTTTGTCTATTTTGTTTGATATGTCAATGCAGCAAATAATATAATTTTTACAATAATATTTTTATTGATATATAAAATATTGATATTTATGAATTAAAATATTAATTAATGAGAAGGAGAAGAAAATGATGAGTAGAGAAAAAATTTTACTCTACTTTATTTGATATATTTATGCATCAGAAAAAAATAATATAATTTTATTATAATGTTTTTTATTAATAAATAAATTATTTATATTGTATTTATAAATTAAAATATTAAATAGAGAGATATTAAAAATTGTATTTTGATAGTTTTATATAATTTGTGTTGGGACAAGAAGTTGTCTCATGGTTTTATGAGAGACAAGAATTCATGTTTTTGTCATGTCCCTTGTCGTATATTTTGTCTTGTTCCATGATAAGTTTCTGTATCAAACAAAGTATAAAAAAATTGTCATGTCTTGTCCCTCGTTTTGTAGCAAATCAAAGCACCTATTGTTTTATGCAACACAAAATTTCTAATTGTAATATCTAATGCATTGAATACAAGTATACATGAAATTTCTCTTCTTTTTTTTAAGACAAAGCAACATCAAAATCTCAAATAAAAACATATTAAAAAAATAGTGAATATACCTTGGCTTTTTTGAGGAAATGTGGATGGTTTGTAAGGTATATGATAGTCCACATGATCCCAGTTGTTGTAGCTTCATGTTCAGCAGCTAATAGTCCTATTAACTGAATCAAAACTCTGTAACAAAACACAAAACAACACAAGCCACAAAACACTCCTAAAATCCTTGAGGCATGTGAATTTTCGTTTTTTCATTATTGTTGTGTATGGTTTGCTAGCTAACTCAGGGGAAAAACACCGACACAGATTCTTAATTTTTTTTCTTAAAAAAAACAAACTAAACAAGAAATGACTCGGTTATGAAAAGTATCGAAAAAGAAAATCTGAGAAAACACTCCTAAATCTACCTTAGTTCATCAACAAACAACAATATTTGAATGGATAAATCAACCTTACTTCATGAAGAAACTAAACCATATTTGCAGATAGTATAATAACCAAAATCTACCTTAATTCATCAAGAAACAACAATATTTGAATGCCTAAATAATCTATCCTAGTTCATTAAGAAACAAAACCAAATTTGAATGCCTAAATCAACCTAACTTCATGAAGAAACAAAACCATATTTGCAGATAGTATTGTAAATGAAGATGATTAAAATCAAACCTTGTTGCGACATGGAGGCAAATATTGTTTAGTACTCTTATGCAGTGGATTGACATTATCCAGAACCTTTGATGCAGAAACTTTCTGAAAAACATAATCTATGTGAAGGCATAAAGAACCTTTAAATGCTTTTGTTAAAACAATTTACAATATTGAAAGATGGCACATAAGTAATAGCAAAAAGATAATCAAATAACAGTATATACCTAGTTCACTATAAGGTGAAGGTAGGAGATCAGGTGAACCTTCATACACACTAATCAAGAAAATAGAGTTACAAATTAAGCAATCTATACATAAACAATACACGATCGCTTGAAAAACATAATGAGGAAGAGAAGGTTTGTTGTTACCAAGTCCAAGATATTGCAAACTGAATCTCCCTTGATAATTTCAGCATTCTGTTCAACCAACAATTAATCATGTGATAGCTTGTATTAAAAGACTCAAAGAAGGTCTTAATAGAGGTTTCCCTATAACATCAAATAGCAAATAGCAATAACTTGGTGCAGTGGGTTTTGGCACCCCATTAAAGGACAAACAATATATGTTCATTATGGATGGCCCATATGTATTATGAGTGTTCTGTGGTAGGGATGAGAGTTGGATCATAAGCTTCGTGAGCTTCAAGGGGCTCTCTAACATCATTCATGCTGAGTTTCTGGCTCTTTTGTTGGGTTTGAATCTAATATAATATATAAATATAATTAATCTCTTCGTTAAGCATTAAGATTCTATTTAAATCATTCACTAACAAAATGAAATATCATATTGAAATAGGAACTATATTATTACAAATATAGCAAGAATGTAGTTGAGAAGAAAAAATAAGAATAAACAGCATAACATCCTGTATGAAGAATCCAATGGTGTTATGATGCAATCACTAAATCAAAGCACTCAATACAAAATAGGATAAATGTAAAATGTAAAATCAGAAGAATATGGAGAAAAAGAGAGTAGACATTGCAAAATGAAAGTCATGGCAGAGGCATGAAGGCTCGAAACTCCATTTTTGCTTTCAGAAGGACTTGGAACACCAGCTACACAAATTTGTTAAAAAAAATCAAATGTTAAATTCATTCTAGTACAACATTGTTGATTGAAAATATGGATATTAAAATTTTAATAAATTTTTTTTTTCATTCACATAGTTGAAAATTAATAGAAAAAATAAGGAAAATTTACCTGAACTATCCGCTAAATTTGAAGGACTAGGAGATAATCCTCCTTTTGGTGTCATTGCCATATCTTTATTATTATTTTTTCAACCAAATAAAATTATGTTACCACTAAATCAAGATATATTAAGATAAAATGCATAAAAAGTTTTAGGCATGCATAACAATTATTTTACATTATTAAAGTGACGAAAATCATGTTAATTCAATTCAGTTGATAATTTTGCATATAACATCTGCGTACTGGGACACAGGTTCCAGTCCTCAATATTACAATGGACTATGATACCAAAAAAGTAAAAAACTTACTTGGTGGCATGGATTTTTGACTTGATGCTCGGGCAAGGACACACCAACAGCTGTGACGACATATATAAGAAATGAAAACACTATTTAAATAATCTTCAACATATATATGTAAATCACAATTGAACATTTTGTGAATGCAACTTTTCTAGATCTAAACATTAAAGTAAAACATAAAAAAGGCACTGAAATTTACCTGAGCAAGTACTAACAGGAGGAGTAGTAACACCACAAAGTGAAAGAAGCTTAAGAGGTTTATTAAGATTAATCTTAATCCCAATAGAATCAGAGTTTTCAAAAAGCTGACACAAAGAAATTGGGTTACTATCAACCAACCCTGCTAACTTAGGACAACAACCTTTATCCAGCTTTCTCAACTTACTCCCATCTTCCACAAATGTTAAACAATCTGACATGTATGTTAGGGCTGTCAAGCATACATAATCTGCAGTAGGTGATGGAGCTCCTTGAATTTCAGCAAAACCAAGAGAACTCTCATTAATAATGATACAATATATAATGCACTACTTAGGCGGAAAAAAATAAAAAAACTCTTATAAAACGATAATTATTAATAACAATACTAAAAAGTAATATCGGCCAAAAAAGTAATTAAAATAATAATAAACTTAAAACAGAACATGATTAACACAAAACAAAAATCAAATGGTTAATTAGTCAAAAATATAGATAATAATCAGAGGCGGAAATTTACCTGTAAGGATCTTCGATAATATCGGAAGTAGACGGTATTAAGAGTGGTGCATATCGATTTTTGTTACTCATTTTCTCGGTAAAATTCTCACTCACGAAATGCAAGAAGCCTTCTAAAAATCGGTATAGTATTGTTAAAGCAGAGAAACTATTGTAGACGTATCAAGATCAAGAAGAAGAAGGTCTGATCCAAGACAAACTAAATGATAAAAAATAAATAATATAAAGTCATACTGTACATTTATTATTACATCTTTATCAATACTACTAGTTCATTTTTATAAATGAAAAATGAAAGTTATACATATTACTAATGTTTAAATAGTTTTTTTTTTTAAATCAAACTATAAAATGGATACATTCAATTCACGAACAGAACATGCGTACTCTCCGATTGTTCCTTCTGAGTTCTTCTCGTCGTCGGCAACGTTGTACCTATCAAACAAACAAACAAACAGAAAACGAATTTTACCTATTTTCAATTTCCAACAACAAAACCCACCAAACCCTTTTGATCCCAATGGAACAAAAACAACCTCTAATAATCCGAGACAAAAACCAGATGAGAAATTGGTCAAGATCAATGAGATCCCAATCCAAACTCATTGATTTCGTTCCCACCATGGGTTACCTTCACCAAGGGCATCTTTCTCTCATCACCGAAGCTCACAAACACGCCAATGTTGTTGCAGTATCAATCTACGTCAACCCGGGTCAGTTCTCACCTAATGAAGATTTTTCCACTTACTCTTCTGATTTTTAAGGTGATGTTCAGAAGCTTTTGTCTGTTCCTGGTGGTGTTGAAGTTGTTTTTAATCCAAAGAATTTGTATGATTATGGGGAGAGTGGGGGTAGTGATGGTGGTGTTGGTGGTGGTGAGGTGGTGTCTTGTGTTGAGAAGAGTGGTTTGGGACATGAGAGTTGGGTTAGAGTTGAGAAACTTGAAAAGGGTCTTTGTGGGAAGAGTATGCCTGTTTTCTTTAGAGGTGTTGCTACTATTGTTGCTATGTTGTTTAATATTGTTGAGCCTGAAGTTGTTGTGTTTGGAAAAAAGGATTATTAGAAATGGAGAGTTATTCAGAGAATGGTAATTGTTTTTAATACTTTTTAGATTTTTTCATGTTTGGATTGATGGAATAAGATGGTATAGAGTGATATATGATGAAATGTAGTTAAACTTTACTATTTAAATTAGTTAAAATCGGATGGAGCGAAGCAGAATCGAGTGGTATCAATTTCATTCTATTCCATCACTTACCACCATTATTTCTTCCCTTCTAATTTGAGATGAAGAACCTTCCTCGTTCTATCTTAAAATATCAAAACGATGGAGCGAAATCTCCATTCCATCTCCATTCTGCTGTGTTGCATTCTACTCTCTTTATTTTAGGATATTCAAACATAGATAAAACCATTAAAGTTTACTTTATTTATGATGCACTTAGAAGGGCTTATTTATCTTCAAATATCCAAACGATAAAGTGAAATCTCCATTCCGCTTTGTTCCCTTGCACCTGTTCACCACCTTCCATGGTATGACTGAAAAATAGTATATTCCACATGTTTAACTCACTTGTAGTTGTTGCGGTGAGAATCGTGATACCAAGCTATTGTTTAACTTTAATCTTAATTCTATACATTCACAACCGGACTTTAATTTATCCAAAGGAAAGGTTTAAAGAAAGAAAAACCTTTTGCGCGATGTAACAACAACGCTAAGAGATCTAAAGGTTCGGGGGTTGGTTATGCCTAGGGTAGGTATTTCACATCCTAGACATCTGTAGTACTCTACAGGAACCTCTTGTTAATATTTGTGTTATGCTAAAGTTGTTTGCTAAAGGATAAGTGCTAAGGTAAAGATCTAAAGTTATATACAAAGTATGCTCGCGAAGACATCGCATCTCGTGCCTACGTATCCTGACGGGAATGGAATCAGAGCAACCGTAGTTCACCTAACTAGGGGTGAGGAACTCTTGACCGTGGTCAAGGTTCTAGGGGGCAAGTAAATGTCTGTGGCGAGACATCTACATAGAGTGCGGCGACTCTAAACTAAGGTTATGTTAAACGGGAAAAGAAATGTCCACGGTGGGACGACTAAATAGAGCACGACAACTCCAAGTCATATGGTTAAGGTAAACAGGGGGAATGTCCACAGCGGGACGGCTACATGGAGCACGGCGACTCCAATCCTAAGTTGTAAAAGGTTAACAAGAAGTTAGTTGTTAGTGAGCTTGTCAAGAAATCGCATCTCGTACCTACGTATTCTCAACGAGAAATCAGAGCGTTCGTAGTTCCCCCAGCTAGGGGTGAGGAACTCTTGACTGTGGTCAAGGTTCCAAGGGGGATGTAAGCATTCATAGGGAAGTACATACATGGAGTGCGGCGACTCTTGAATCTATGTTGAGATTGTTATGGTAGAGAACGTCCACGGCGAGACGCTAAACATGAGTACAGAGACTCAGATCCTAAGGCTAGGATAAAGGGTAAAGGATGTCCACGGCGGGACGCTAAACATGAGTACGGCGACTCAAATCCTAAGGCTAGGATAACGGATAAAGGATGTCCACGGCGGGACTCTAAACGTGAGTACAACGACTCAGATCCTAAAGTTAGGATAACGGGAAAAGATAAAGGATATCATACATAAACCAACAATGTCACAACAATGTAAACAGAAGGTTCAAAACCTCAAGAGGATAATCAACAGTTTTAAAGGTGAACCATATAAATGTGTACAAGCAAAGCTGAAATTCAATACTTAAATGCACGAGGGAGACAACAAGCCAAGTTTATGATTTCAAATTAAAGCTCAAAGAGAAAATAAAGTCAAAGTTTTGAAAATGACGGAATGAGAGGTAGGAGGATGAAAACCCTAAAATGAATTGCAACTTCTTCATAATGTAAAGTGTTCCTAAAATAAAAATTTTAGGATTCTTTAAACATTATGTGAAAATACACATTAACATGAAAATTTAGCAAAAAGAATCAATTTAAAATGATTAAAAATAAAGAAGTTGTGTAAGATTAAAAATAAAATAAAACTATTTGCTAAAAAAATATGAAATGCCTCACCTAAGGCTTGAACCCAAGACCTTGGGGTCATAGGCTTAAAATAATATCAATCCAACCATTAAACACATATGATATGTGATGGAAAAAGAAGAAGAAATAATAAAACATGAAAAATCATTTAAAAAAATGTAAAAACTGTCCTCAGTTAGGGTCGAGCTCACGTCATAAGGCATTACAAGATACATAAAGGTAAGGCGTTAACCACTGGGGTGACGATACATCCATTGTATCAAGCCACCCCAATTGCAAATATACCTAAACAAGGCGCAAGCTGGGCATTTCTTGAAGGCAAGCTCAAGGCAAAAAATCATGAAAACGATTTCATCATAACTCACTCAATTCTAAACCAATTTTCATGAAATTTAAGTCAAACTTACTTGTTTTTTCAAGAGGAACATGATGGTACCATTCATTTTTTGAAATAATGCACACACATAGAAACACGAATGGAAATTCCAAGTGGAGCTTGAAGTGCATTTTAAAACATAATGAGTTGAAACATATGCATTTTGAAACATAATGAGTTGAAACAGATGCAATTAAAGGTAGAAAATGGTTTGAGGAAGTTCCAAATATGCAAAAGAATGAGTTCCAACAGGAAATCTGTTCAAAAGAAAATAGAACATAAAAATGGTATGTGAGTTGTAATTGTGCATTTTTTAAAAGCATTTTGCAGTGGTAAAATCAAAACAGATGTAATTATGCATAAGTAGGGGCCTGCTCAAGTTTTAAATGCAATATAAAATGAGTTCCAGCAAAAGATTTGTTCAAAAGACTTTAGAGCACAAAGTTGGTATATGAATTGCAATTAATGATCATGAGTTGAAACCAACACAAAAGGGTCAAAATAAATGAATTCAAAAGTGAACAAAAGTCTGGTTATATTGGAGATGTACTTCTTATGATCATGTTCAAAGGGATGTGCTTAATTCTCACTGGCTTTTGAATAAGCTTTATGTCACCTTACAAATATCAAAACAGTGGTCATGGCAGTAACTCATATCAGTTTCAAATGGTAAACAAATATGAACCTAACTTACATGAATTGCAAAAGTTGGAAAGGAAACCTGATGGTAATGGAAACTGGCAGATTCAATGCATCACCAAATTCACTAATAGCTTGACAACTAGTTATGAACATATGCAAAAAGTTTCTCAAGCTGATTTAACTAAATCAACCATTCTATGACAGTAACCAAATTGTTGAAAGTCATGAGTCAAACTTCAAACATACCAACTAAGATGATCTCAAAGATAGAGCTTGAAGGTACTAGAGTTCTAATCATTTTTCCAAAACAGAAAGCAAGCAATAGTTTAAGGCACCATGCCTTTAAAGTATCCAACATACCAATCCAATGTTCAAATGATCTAGGCCTTTACCAAGATAAGAACTTTGCAAACTAACTGGGGATTTTTACAAAAAAAAATGAGGCTGACAGACTTTATAAATATCAAGTGGCAGCCATAAACCTTCAAGGGGCAATCATCAATTAGTGGCAAAGTAAAGGGTGTAGGTGGATCAGACTTAAATCAGCAAAGTCTAGCAACATGGTTATAAGTTCAAAAGCAAAGCAAAGCTCAATTGGTCTAAATAAAACCTAATAATAGCAATAAACCAATTTCAGCATGAGGCACCAAATTCAGGCAGCAATTATGTTTGTGGTGTTTCAACAATGTTTAATGATGAATTCTAAGCAGTATTTCAACAACAAAATAAGAGCTTAGCATAACTCAAGCAAGATTGCTTGGTTTGAACATAAAAACAGCGGCATAGCCCTCATAAAGCAAACACATTCTCTTCAAGACAATCAATAATGCAAGTTCAAACAGGTTGAACAGATTTACTTGAGAGCAAAATTGTAATTTACAAAGTCCAAATCAACCAAACTAAACAAAACCAACATGATGGGGCAACTGCCATTTCCTTAGCAGGTTTAGTAAGGGTGCAACAATTGACAGCAATAGAACATATGCATATGAACTAGGCAGTTTAAAACAACATGGCACCAATCTAAACATTACAATGTTTAAACTTGTTCAGCATACCAGATCCATACATATATGAGGCATCAATGATGAATAAACCTAAAATGACATACCTCTTGTAGTCTAGCTGCAAAAATCAAGAGTTCCTTCCTTTATATGCAAACTTTGAGATTGTTACTTCTTCTTGAAGAAAAAGAGACAACTCTGTGGACAGTTGGACCAAATGGAATTCCATCCATGGTTTGAGGTTTTGGATAGTTAAAAAATCATAAACATGAAGTGTTCCAAGTGTTAAATTGATGGAAAAAGGTTTGTGTAGTGATTTGGCTTGAAATGTGTATAAAAGTCAAACTATGGTGTGTGGACAGTTGACTTTTTGATCTATGATTTTTTTTTTATGAAACTGACTATTGGAATAGATTCAAATGGTGATTTTAAGGGTGTGTATATGGTTTTTATGATGGTTTCATGGCTAGAAATGATGCTGGTGTGAAAAATGCAAAGTGGCCATTTTGGTGGTTTTGTGACTTTTCTTCACTTACAAGTAAAGAGGGAAAGAAGGAGAGCTGTGTGTTTATGATATTTTGGATAGCTCTGGTATCCTGTATACAATGGGATGAAGCCTCTATTTATAGTCTAAGAGAAGAGTTTGGGGCAGATTTAAAGTCTTGGCCTTGGAGGGAGATTTTTGGAAGAAAATCCATCCAAGATTTATGGCAGATGTACCCTCAACTCCTTGGCTCAATGCAAGGCATAAATCAAGTGATATGAAGGGCATGGAGGTGAATGAAGTGAGGCTAGAGGATAGGGAGCTGCAACTGCAAGATTTCCATGAAAAGTTTCTCTTTCTTCTAGCTTTTTGATTAAAATATTGCCACATGTCTTGCAACTTGCAATGTCTACCAAACCCTTCTTTCTTCTGCATTTCTAACCATCAACCTCTCAAATTATCATATCAAGACATGATCCAATGGTTGAAAATGATTCAAGTGGCTGAAAAGTGGA